ATGACTACAAAGGAACGAAAGATAAGCCACATTGAGTGCAAAATGCAAAACCAGGGTCTCCTTATGTCACAGATTAAATTAAATTAAATTAAATTTTATTTTATTTTATTTTTATTTATGTTCACTCCCAGTCTTACTATCTAAAACATTCCAATCCAATCATGGTATAATTTGCTGGGAAGCTGTGTTTTGACAGTTATGATCAGTGATTCTTGTGAAAGTACAGTAATGTTTTATCAATTTATTTGTTGTGTAAATGGCATAATGAAACCTTATTACTTTGCAGATGTTGTTTTTTCTTTTTAATAAAGTTTCAGAGTGGTTTCATCTGCTGGTTAGCCTAGAGGCAGATGTTTATGCAAAACAACATGTGTTAAAAGCAAATGCTCAATATATATATTTATACATAGTATATGTATTTATCATTTCACTTACGCATTTACAACAATCATTAAACTCTACACGCAATATTTTTTCACATGCATTTTTTCCCTGTCATTAGCTGTCAGTGGTGTCTGTCTCCAGCATGGATGCAGGCGACTACACCTTCACATCAGCTTGTGTTTTGACAGAGTCTTGTGTGTGTTGCTGCAGTCCTAAGTGTGACGTGAATTTGAATTTAGTGTGTACAAAGACTCGCCCGTCAGGGAGAGGATGATGTAGACTGACGGAGAGAGATGGTTTTAGTCTCCCATTCCCTTTCAAGTTTGCTCTTGAATCACACACAGTTAGACACACACACACACACACACACACACACACACACACACACACACACACACACACACACACACACACCCAAAACAAGAGTGAAAAAAAACTTAAAAAAAAAACCTCACTGCATTGATTTACAGTAACATGGTCCTATAACTACCCTTGTGTCCTTCACAACAACAGCTTCAAAGATTAAACTTGTTTAATGCAAGTTTCCTGATGCTACAATTACACTATAAGAAATATAATCAGCTGTTAGACAAATAATTAAAAAAAACAATTAAACTAATCAAAGCAACTCTGCAAAAACAAAAATAAAAGAACAAATGGCTAAATTTAGATTTGAACAAACAAAATAATAATAATGATGTTGTGTTGGTGAGACTTTAGAGAAGGGACAGCAAAGTTTAGACAGTGCTTCAACAAAAACTTAGTTTTTCTATTCGATTTATTCTTCACATTCGTAGACCCAAGAGCATATTTAGTTATTTGACTGCTTACTTCTGCAGGGGTTGCCACAGTGAGCAAGCGGGTGATTGTTTTATGCCTGATGCCTTTTCTGAAAAAAATCTGGGCCCTAACTTATAGCCTCAGGATTACAAGACTTTGTCACTCACCACAGAGCTACAGCAGCCCAGAGGAACTGAATGAATGACTGGCTTTAAAAAATACAATGTTTTGAACAGGTTACAAACTATTTTAGATACGATTCAGGCCAGAAAGAACCGGCTGTTACTCAAGTGAAGAAGATAGAAAAGAAGTTGAAACAAAATAATGACTTAATTATGTTTTCAAAGTTACTGAAAAGGAGAAATAGCATATTAAGTTGAATCAAATATGTTTTCATGTGTTTGTTTTGAGTACAAAAATAAAAAAAAAACATACTGACTCCCGCTTTAGAGAGATGTCTGACAACAATGTGTGCACGGAGAAATCAGAGCTCAAACTGTTGACCTTTTTGATTGGTGGACATTTGTTCTGCTTCCTGAGACAAACGCCAGGCTTAAAACTGGGACTTGGGTTTTCAGGCAGAAAAGTCTGAAAGACTGTCAGAAGGTTTCTGCTTTGTTGAACTGATCAAATCATTACAAGATGAATTTCTTTTTTACATATGTCCTGTGACAGATATATGAAAACAAAACCACTTCTTTCTTCTTCTAATGTAGGCCAAACCTCTCTTTTCTGCTCTGTGCTTTGTATTATTAACCCACATTTTGCTTTCACAAGTGCTTTTTTTTTCCTTCTTTGTTGCACGGTCGGCCAACTGAACATATATTTGATTATGGCTCACACAATTACCTTGCCTTGAGCTGTTTGCAAGGTGTAATGGGTGACCAGTGATGCTAAACAGGGTTGACAGAAATCTCTTAAGGGAAAAGAGAAGGGTAACCTCAGCAGTCACATCATAGTACAAGATGTGTAACAGAATACAAATGTTTAGATGTGCACAAAATCATTAAATGGAAACTAAAAATCACTCCAGCATGTAGAACTACTACTAGCAATGTATCTTTAGCATAAATGACAATTGACCTTTTGCACATTTCGGTCATAATAACACGCGCACACGAGTTTTTCATGCATTCACCGTAAGTAAGGGTCATTCATCGTATGAGGTGAGTGTTTACGTTCATTCCAACAGCAATGGGGAAAAGTGACTCTTGTAGTGTGTACARTTGTTTGAGGCAATGTGAATGAGCAAAAGATGAAGGTGAAGATTGCTCCTTTTACCAAATTGCTCTAGGAAAGTCGAGCAAAGCTGCAACAAGAAGAAAGCTGTGGATCAATGCGCTTTGCCTTCACAACTTCACTTCAATGAAAAACAGTAACATGTATAATCATAAAAAAAATAATAAACACCACATCAGTCTAAAGTTCAGCAAGTTTTGGTGTGAGACATTCTATGGCATTAACACAGGTGTTTGATTCTGACTCTTGAGTCAACAATTTGATGAAAACAACACAAGAAAACCTAGCTTACCTTGCTGGGCTTTCACAAAAGGCCTGAAGGATTTTCACCACTTTCAATCAGCCCAGTGAACACTCCATAGTTCTGTTGCTTCGTGCTTGCTTTGACTTTAGCATGATTAGCTGCATTCCCATTGCAAATGTGCGCAAAACTTTGTCGATATTCTGTTAATGTCGAAAAACACAGTTTCGCAACTGTGGTGTTTCCATTAAGTAAGAAATGCTGTTAAAGTCACGTGTGAATACGTTTGTTCTCRCGATAAATCATTACAAACATGGTGGCAATGGATGTAAACACATAGCATGTTGCTACGTCGACACTAGCGCTCATCATCAGAGGAGAAGTCGGCGTCTTTTATCGAGGCTTTCCAGTGACAAGCCCCTACTTGGGAGCGGCTACGTATGCTGTCTTCTTGGGAAACTGTAGTCGGTGAGTTTACTATTTTATACTACTTCTGCGATATTACTACTACTTCTACTTCCTGTTATCTTCTTCGTTGTCGTCTTTTTCACCAACAGAAACAGTCGGTTGTTGATCACATGACTCCCGGGATGCGAAAAAAGTGTTTCCATTGCAGTTTTGCGAAAAACACCAATTTCGATACGGCCGAAATACCACCTCATCCTAGCGCAAAAACATTTTGTTGAAAAACGTAATTTTTTTTCGAAATTGACGTGTTTCCATTGAGCAAATTTATTTTCGAAATTCTAATTTGCGTATTTTCATGGTCAGTTGAAACGCAGCTAATGACAACAGTGCCAGAACAAACGCTATCGTCAGCAGTGCTACAAACACCAACAACCTAAACGTGGCCGTCTTTCCAATACACGATAGCTCTCGACGACTTTAACGTTCTTGTTTCGGCGATAGTCTTCTTTAATGCGTTGCACCCCCGACAGTTACTTCACAATGACGTCCTCTCAGATCTGAAACACTTTTCAGGATTTTGTCCATTGGTTGTCCACAGTTTTCTGAAACCACACATTGACATCACCGTCATCACCTCACTCTTTCA